TTTTTCCGTTTCCCATCACACTGCGTATTGGTCCAGTTATGAGGATTTCTGCTTGCTCTGTGTTGAGGTATAATCCATACTGACCAGTAGAAAAGGCCTCTTCCCTGTAGCTAGGAAAGCTCTGTTGTTGGCCCAGGACAGGTTGTTCAGAATCGTCCTCCAATCCTGATACCAGTACTTATTCAACTGGTCCAGTGTCTCAGGTTGTTTTCTCGGCCTATAGATGAAGTCATACGATGAAAGGATACAACCTTGATGCACATTCTCCGGTGGTTCAACCACGCAGTATCCACATTGGGACTGATGGCATTGACCTTATCCACTGTCTATTCCCACAGAGGAAGTTGATTCCATTCCTGTATATCCATCCAGTGAGGATGCTTATATGGCTTATGTTGCTGGGGAAACAACTGGTGTGTGTAATGACTAAGTCCTTGGTCATGCGCAATCCTATCATGGGATCTCTAGCATCATTCCTGTCACCAAGGCCGATTTTCCAACTGTTGACCTTTCTTCTTTGTTCCACCTGCAGTCACATTTAATCTCCAGTGATTCTCAATGCATCTTGATCGCATGTTTGATTGATTTCAGACTGCAAAAGCTGGTTTTTTAAAAGACTTCAATAGAGAGAGAGGGAGATTTCAAGAAAATGGCTCAGGTTGTGGAAGCTGGCAAATCCCATCTCTGTGGGTCAGGCGTCAGGCCGGAGGCTTGTGCTGACTCACCTTGTTGGAGGGGTTGGAGAACCCAAAATCAGTAGGACAAGCAGCAGACTGCTGCCGACTCACAGCCCATCCACCAGAGGTGAGTTGATGGGGAGCGAGATGCAGGATGGAGAGAGAATGTGGGCTTTGCCACTATATCCATATATATTGAATGTAGACCAACCCCTGAGCAAGCTTTGTTTTCAGCTGATGGGCTGTTCACATCAGATGTTGCGAGCAACATGAAAGATGATCACCTCAGCTCTGAGACTCGTAGCCTAGCCAAGTGACACATAACCCTAATCATCACACATTTTCGTGTTTCTTACTCATTTATATGTCTATTTTATATACGTGTGTGCATGCAAAACAAGAGCCATTCTATACACAGTTTTGCGTCCCATCACGTGTACTTATGTCTTAAACACTTTGCAGTGCTTAAGTGTTTTAAACACTTTCCAGTGAGATAGCTTCAAAAAACACCACTTTCAAAGCAGCTACAAGCCGTCCACTAAGTGGAGGTAGTCCTTCACCTGCACTGCTCGGCATCACGC